AATGGAGTTAATTGATGAGCCACTGGCTGGAATGTATCACCTTTTTATTATCGGACAATGGGCTAATTGTTGTGAGTATAAAGGTCCAGCTAGAGTAGGTGTGGGACGGTGCTTCCCATGCCTGCCGGCGGTCTGGGGGGTTCATAACGGGACCTCTTTTTCAGATTCCTTTTCTAATAGTTCTAATAGGACACATTTCTGAATGACAAACTGCAACAGGACAATTTCCGGAAAGACAAACACCAAAAAGACATATTTCAGAAATACGATCTAGGAAAATAAAATTCAGGAGTGAAAATGTTCGGGTGCAGTGGAAAATATTTGGGAAATAAAACATTCCGCAAATTATTTTTAGTGTATTTTATTAATGTAGAGGAGTTGAATAAATTCTAGAAATGAAACCTAATTTGATTTTGTGCAATAATTGCTGATTATGCACTTTTGTGAAAAATGATATGATACAATGAGAGGATAATTCTACAATATCATTGTTATCTTTAAATATAAAAATTGTATTCAATACCCACAAAGTTTTTATTCTATTAGAAAAATGATGAAAAACTTCAATAAAAAATGAACAAGCTGCCAGGGGAGAGAGTTCTTGATTTTTTTCCATATCAAATAAGAGTTTTGATTATACCTGAACTGATCAACTGTCATAGCAGACACTCCACCGAATATATCATCGTACGGAAGTCTAAAAATATCAATAATTCAATCAAAAGATTCTTAGGATGAATAGGACAAGTGTACACAGCAACAGACATATGCTTACTGCTTAGGTTGAATAGGACAAGTATACACTTTACATACCTATACATAAAGCTGTCTACATACACAGAAATGTGCTTGGGTTGAATAGGACAATACCTGTACATACCAGTACATAAAGCTGTCTACAGATACCGACAAATACTGTTGAATAGGACAAGTAAACAGTTAACATACTTGTACAAAAAGCTGTCTACATATACAGATATAATAGGACAAGTATACACTGTACATGCCTGTACGATGTACATAAAGCTGTCTACAGATAACACATGTGTCTAGGTTGAATAGGACAGGTGTACACTGTACATACCTGTACATAAAGCTGTCTACAGATACAGACATGTGCCTAGGTTGAATAGGACAGGTATATAGGTTTCTATCATCCTCAGGAAGAAGATCAACATCGTGGAAGATAAAACACTGAATCCAATATTTATTCAAGAACATGATGACAACGTTACAGAGTTATTTAGTAAATATTTCGATGTGTCCCAAATTTATTTTCCAAAATGGATAGTTTTAGATGTTAAAATTCCCAGAAATTGTTGATGCTTCTCACTCCTTATGAATAGGCAGAATCTATTATGATTATGATTATGTGAAAAATAATTTTATTAAATAAATATATTCCTGATAACTATGCTGCTTCAATGCTTCAGCAGCTCCAACATTCATCAGCATCGCCCGATTAAAAGGACCGTTCCCGGACTTCGCGAGATTTTGTTCAAAAGTTCGTTAAAAAAAGACTGGAATGGATTATCATTTAACAAACCTTCAAGGGGAGGCCTAGGACAAGGGTCCGATATTGCCTTGGTTTGAATATGAATAACTGTATTTAATAAATAAGATCAATTTAAAATAGGCTTTTTATCAAGTTATCTGTATTTTAGAAGAAATCTATTCCTGTTCTACAATATAAATACCATACTCGTTCTGCTGTTTCTGTAAAAATCTGAAAATATTAAAGGTTCATTAATTCATCACTGTTTGTTTGTTTGGATGTCCGATCATAACTCATGAACCCCTTGACCGATTTGTCTAAAATTCAATTGGAACACTCGGGAGAACCACGGGAATGTTCTTAGAGAGTCCAAGTGTAAAGGGAAAAATAGTAGCTAAAATCGTAATTTACAAACAAGCGCGGGTAAACGGCGGGAGTATCTATGAGAAACATCGGCAACGCTAAGTTCCCAAGCTAGTAATTCATATTATCGGATGAAAACAAAGCGAACTGTGACCAGTGGTCGAAACATTTATGTGAGATAGAGCTTATTTGAAACACTTGATCTCGATATATTGATCTCAGTCTTCTGCAGATCTACGGATTGATTCAATTCTTCCTTTTCTAGACGGATAAGTTTAACTGAAGGATAAAGCATTATTCCTTAAATTGAAAAGTGTCCACAAAGGATATCTGGATCAAGAGTTCAAGATCAACTATAATCCACACAAAAGTTCCAACACCAAAGCAATTTAATGCCAACGTAATTCAAAATGGCAACCGACTTTACTTGTGCACTTAAATCCATATTTCATAAAAACAAATCCCCAGACTTCAGGTTAACCAAGGAATACAAGTTTTGACCTAAGCAATTTATTAATGGGACATTTTATGTTTGCATGCCCATAGTCCAATAGACGTTTTTAGGCCACGTAGGAATAGGGAACAAATTCACAAATAATTAATTGTCAAAAACAATACCTGTGAATGTTATAAAGGAAAGCTCTGAGATGATCTTCCCTATCTCTGTATGGTACTATTATAGCAACCTAGATAATTAAATCTTTCCAATTCTGCAAACCTTTGTGCAGTTTCCTACAAAACAATTTTAAAAAAACTAGTAACAAAAAAATCGACTAATGCATAGTTTACCCTATGTCTCGGTTTGCAGTCTGCTGGTTTAAAGCTGCCCCCTAACTCCAGGTCTGGGAACATACTTTCCATCTCAGAAAAATCAGGAACCTTCAGCACAAACATGCACTTACAATTAGCAAGACGTAGTTGAACTACATAGAAGTGGTTGAACCGATTGAAGCAAAAGAGAAGTGGTTCAACAAGAAGTTAACATTGCTATTTTTTAGATTTAGTCCCGGTTTTCTGTACGGTGGTGAAGGAGAAGAAATAATAAGTAAATAATTGGGTAAACTAGATTATTCTGAATTATTAAATCATATGATGAGAAAGTCATTCCCCTCCCCCGTATCTTCTATATATAAATTTGTCTTGTCTGTCTGTTTGTTTGTATCCAATAAACGTCAAAACGGCTGAACCGATCGGGCCCAAATTTTTTGTCGGACATCACGTGACCACAGGGAAGGTCTATGAATGAAATTTTTTTTTAAAATATAAAAAAATTAAATTCTTGAAAATCCGTGAATTTTTTTTTTTAATTCGGCAAATTTTTCTTCTTCTTTGTTTTGAAATGTAAACAAAAAGAACATGTTCATAATTTAAATAGAAGATGGGCGCGAAGCGCCCTAAAAGCCTAGAAAGAAGGGCGCGAAGCGCCTTGAATTTCTAGTTGAAATACATATCCCTGAAGTAATAATGTTTTGTCACCTGTTGAGTTAAGACTGGGAACCTTCCTAGAAGGTTTGGTGGTATCATTGGACAATCTGATCAATACAACCGCTCATTGATCGTATAAAATACAAAGCTAGAGGGTCAAAACGGTTGATCCGGATTTAATGAAATGTGAAAAGTGGGTGAAATTATGTAAAGTTTTTTCACCATTTCAGATAAAAGAAAATGTTGGGTGTTCATCAAACTAAGTTCTAAAGAGTATTAGAAAATTCTAAAAGATTCTAAATAAACTAATATTGAGCATTGTAATTTAACACCCTGTGATCCAGAGGTTTATATTTTTCAGGTGTACACTGTACATACCTGTACATAAAGCTGTCTACAGATATAGAAATGTGTCTAGGTTGAATAGGACAGGTGTACACTGTACATACCTGTACATAAAGCTNCCCCATGGACCATGGGAATGTTTTCTGTGATTTGCGGAAAAAAAATTGTTCATCAAATGGGAAGTTTTTCATTCTTTTTTGATACTTTTTACCCACTTCGAAAAAACACATAATATCTAGGGAAAAAATGATTTTCGACGAGGGGAGGGGGCAAATGATTGTTCGATAAAAAATATACACCCTTGAACACAATGAGCTGGGTTCCTGATAGGGTTGAGTTTGGATGTATAGTACGGCTTGTTGGTTTCGTTATCACAGATTCATTTTGATTTCTTGGTATCAACTCACTTCGGTACAGATCAGATGGCAAGCTCTAGAATAACATCATTAAAGGGAATGTAGACGAGTTTCATGCACGATTCACAATGGTAACATTAACCTATTTTTAAGTGGAAAAACGGAGATGTCCTTCTTAATCTTTCGAGTTCAGTTCTCTTTAGTGGCTTTCGTATGTATGCAATTGAATCGATCATATCACTCTAATATCTGTATATATACAGTATATCTTGATCATAACACAGAAACCCCTTCACCGATTTGCCTCAAATTATGATTGAGACACTCGAGAGAACCATGGGAATGTTCTTAGCTTGGTTTGAGTCTAAGTTAAGAAATTTACTTGTATAGAGCAAGTTTAGTTTCCAAGGCAAAGCTGGGTTCCCAAGCTAGTGTACAATAAACAAATAATCATAATTTCATGGATCGAATACTTTTGTTACTTTCTTGGCCTAAATTTAATGTCAATATTATTCCCTTTCCAACCATTCTATAACTCAATGAAAAAAAAGTTGAAAAATTAAAGCTTGATACAACATGTTCTAACCTGCAATCATATTGTTTTCTATCACCATATTTTTTTCCCGTCATCAAATTTTATTTGCCAAAAAGAATTGAAATTTTTTTACTTCCGTAATCCGTATACATTGCTGGTTTTGGTCTCATAATTCATAAAGATTTTAACTAGTCTCGTCTTTTTATGAGAATTTTATGCCGATAATAGTTATAATACCACAACTCAATAATTCATGTGTCTCTAATTATACTATTTAGTCAAACTTAATCTGAACTAAATAATTTGTATTCTAATAATTGTGCAGTATTGCTATTTTTTGTACCGCATTAGAACCAAATATAGTTTTATATTAAAGTTATTTTTCTTAGAATACAACGCAAAGATATTTTCATGCGTCATACTTTTACATCTTTATTATTCAAGAGTTTGATAAATACATAATACTGTTACTAAATATTACAAAAAAGAAACCTGTAGAATATGTCTATGCCAGCCTGTTGCTGCCACCCCTCCTTCCCCCAGCATATTAAATACACTGGGTTTCTGTTTATCAGCATTCTCAGCACTTTGCAGGAGCGAGATGTACTCAAGTACAACAAGGCAGCTTACAATCAGAACCAGTACACGAACTGTAATAAAGTTATGTACTTTTAGTTTTCATTGCAATACAAAAACTGTTATGAAAATATTTTTTAAAGTAAAAAATAGCAACTTAAAATTTGAACCAGTACACGTACTATAATAAACATTCATATACTTTTAAGTACAAAAAAATAGTTTAAAATTAAAATTAAACTGCAGAGATACATTGAGAAAACTGAAAAAATTGGGTTTTACTTCTAGATAGGATACAGTTGATCCCAATTTTCATTTATTTACTCGCATTAGGCGAAAAACAAACGATAAATGTCGAAAAGGAGGGGGGTGGGGGGATTTATAGAAAATCATTATTATATAAAAAATGAAGCATTAGGTTTTAAATACAAACCCGTCAAATAGTTTCTGCCCCCCATGGGATCAAGATTTTCTTCTCATATTCTCAAGATCATCATTCATAACCGAAACCCTTCTGAAAACAAACGAAACAATTAACAGTGAGAAAAAAATAAATGAAACCTAACAGGTTTAATTTCGTTAAACTGTAACGTATTGTGATCAACAGCTTTATGTCCAATAGATAAATATCGTTTATTTTATGTAATGAAGAAGTAATAACACGCACTGCAGGCCAAACCATATAGTTCTTATCATTATACACCACAGAAGAATATTTACAACACGTATCTCCCTCTGGCCTCGACTCAATTCACAAAGGGTGGCAAATCGCTAAATAATTTTAGCCAGTTTTGTCTGTACAATATGAATTGCGAACTTTTTCCGGGACAAAAATAACCAAATTAACGTTGTATTTCAAATTTAGATTTATCTCAAATCAAACTTTTCAGTAAAAATATTCATTTCACAAAAAAAGAAAACAATAATGAAAAAAGATTTCTTCTCCTAATTCTTGTGACACGACACGCATTTGATGCGTTAACGTCTAAAAATGATCTGTCAAAGTTTTCTGTACAAAAAGATGCGCAGTTAGCACTGCGCAGATACAAGTTTTCGAATAATGAGTTGCGGCATTTCCTTATTCCATTAAAATAAAGATTCTTGCCCCCCCCCTAAGAAAATGAGCCACCACTATTTCCCCTTCCGTACCACCACATTTGACTCTTTCGGGCAAAACTACTTTTTTAAATGGTATATTTAGGGCCTTTAAAGTGTGATTTTAAACAATCCAACTGCGTCACTAAATACATACATATATATTTGTATCTTAATATTTCAGTGTTAATATGTAATGAGGATGATTTCTCTTAATATAAACTGTAAAACTTTATTTTGCAAATCTAAATTCTGATTTTCACAAAAATGGCTTATTTTTTAAAGCAATATCAATTTTAAAAATTACGCACCAAAAAATAAACTTCAGTTTTGAAGAGAACCCTTGTGTGAAAATGTGCAATGCGTTAAGAAAAAATTGCAAAAAAAAACCGGTGTAAAAAGTGTTACCCATTTTTGGAGGTCATTTTGGTCATTCGAGGTCGTAAGAGGTCATTAGAAGGTCAAACACTGGATTTGTTGCTGCTACTGTATTTTCTGGGTTTCTAGCTTTCGTTTGATATGCATAAAGCCATAGTTAAATTATTTTCATTTTTGGAGGATGATTTAGGTCATAAGAGGACGTTAAAGGACAGAAGGTCAATTACTGGATTTGTTGCTGCTACTGTATTCCTGGGGTTCCTAGCTTTCGTTTAATATGCATAAAGCCATAGTTAAATTATTTTTATTTTTGGAGGTCATTTAGGTCATTAGAGGCTGTAAGAGGTCATTAGAAGGTCAAACACTGGATTTGTTGCTGCTACTGTATTCCGAGGGTTCCTAGCTTTCGTTTGATATACAAAAAGCCATATTTGAAATATTTTCTATTTGTGGAGGTCATAAGAGGTCATTAGAGGTCATTAAAATTCAATTTGATTTTATTTTAGAAATTTCGATCACTAATTAGGCGTGCAGCCAAAAAATTGGAAGATTTGAACCAAAAATGAAGGCA